TTTTTTTTTTTTTTTTTTTTGGACAGTACTAGGAATTGAACCCAGGTCTCTACACTGAGCTACATCCCCAGCCTTTCTATTTATTTTTTTTAAGCAAGGGTCTTGCTAAGTCCCTAAATTGCCCAGGTTGGGCTTCAACTTGTGATCCTCCTGCCTCAGCCTTGCAAACTGCTGGGATTACAAGCCTGCGCTATCACATCCACCTTGGCTCTTTTTCAAGCATTTGCAAGGTGAGCTCCACTCCACTGTAAGAGCAACAAGGGACTGAGTGAGGTAGCTGAGAGAGAGGTAGGGACAGGTGCAATAACAGCATCACCATGGGCTCCCGTCCCTTAGAAATGGTGCCTGGCTTGGCAGGAGATATGGTCCCTGTCTCACTTAGAAGGATATCAGGTCCCCTGACTGTACCTCATCTAACAGATGAGGAAACTGATGGCCAGACTGGTAAAGGACCCTGTCCAAAGTCACACAACGAATTAGCTAGCTATGTCTCCAGACTCAAGCCTGTGAGGGTTCATCTTGACTGTTGACTTGATTGGACTAAGAACTACCTAGGAAATCAAAGTACACTTCTGGGTATGTCTGTGGGGGGTGAGATAATGGCATGTTGGACAGAAAACCGAGGGGGAGACCCATCCTGAATGTGGGTGGCATCCTCTCATAGGCTGGGGTCCTCGGTACAAGAGGAGCAGGAGGAGAAAGTCTGCCAGCATAGGCTCTTTCCCTCTCTCTCTGCTTCCAGGCTGCCATGAGGTAAGCAGCTTTCTTCCGCCACACCCTTTCACCATGACACTGCCTCATTACAGGCCTAAAACGATGGAGCCAGCTGACCATGTGAAACTGTGGGTCAAAATAAACCTTACTGAGGCAAGAGATTAGGGCATGGCAAAATCACTGGGGAAGTGAACATGGCCTGTCAATCACCCAGCTCCAGGAACCAAGCACAGAACATTTCTCAAAGCCCTGCACTTGGAACCAGTCAGAGAATACTATCTTCAGTTGTTCTCCTGAGAACTCATGCAGGCTTTTGATAGGACAGTTAGATCCAACCTGAGCCTGAGGGGTGGGAGATAGAAAAGATAGCCGCCATTGAGTTTTTGGCCACTGTGTGTGCTCGCTCTCCCCGCCACACACACAGTTTGACGCTCACTATGTACTTCCTTTCCTACTTTTAAATGGCCCTGACCCACTGTGCAGAGTTTACATTAATAAATGTAAAACCTCATTACTTATTGTACTTATTTTGTCCAGTTCTTTGTTCAAGACAGCAAGAACCTAGAAAACTCCTCCAGAAGGAGATTGCAGCACCCTAGAACCCAGTAACATTATCTCCTGAAAGTTGTTATTCTCAAGTATTTTGTCATAACAGAAAACTAACAGAAGGGCTCCTTTTGCCACAGACAAAAATAGTGTGGGTCACCTCCTGGGTCAGGGGGGTCTCTAGATAGGACCAATGTGGTGGAGCCTTGGCCCTGAGGCCCTCCCCCAGCCCTACTTCTGCCTTGCATGGTGTCCACCTCAATTCTCCCAGGATGGGTCCAGGCTCGCTGAAAGACATGTCCAAGAGCCAGGTATAGTGGTGCATGCCTGTATAATCCTAGCACTCAGGAGGCTGTGAGTTCAAGACCAGCCTGGTCTACATAGTGAGTTCCAGGTCAGTCTTAACTACACGGTGAAACCCTGTCTCAAAAAACCAAAAAAAAAAAAAAAAAAAAAACCTTAAAAAAAAAAAAAAAAAAAAAAAAAAGACATGCCCAAGAGAGTATGGGACAGAGCCAGCATACAGTGGGCCAGCCAGCCCAATTCTTTCCCCATCAGCATCCTTAGCTGGCTGTCTTCTGGCCACTGGCCAATGCACAGGGTCAGGCACAGCCTAAACCTGTCTTCTACTGGTAGCTCATCAAGCCTCTCCTGAGCAGGTCTGGAGGAGGAAGGGGTCCAAGGCCTGTGGACACCTGGGCCTCACTCTTAGGAAAACAAGGGTGGCAAACCTGAGGTTCTAATTAGAGGCTTCTGGGTTATCCAAGTACCTGGGTGAAAGGAAATGTATTTCCTAATTGGCACCTTGTGAGGTGTCACTCAGCAAGCCAGGGATTCTGCAGCCAGGGAGCTGGGGGCCCCCACCTGGCCTCAACTCCTGTCTGATCCCCAGGCCAGCTCCCTCCTGTCCTCCTCCTCCTGTCTGTCATTCCCTGGCATGGCTTACATCTTCCCTAGGGTTGGGATAAACACACGCCAAACACACTCTTCACCCAAGAATCCAGGGTCTTAGCCAAGTATGCGTGGAAGATTCTCCACAAGGCACAGCAGAGCCCTCACCCCCAGCCTGAGAGTGAGATCCACACCCATGGGCCTGGCATTGTGTGCAGTGCCCACGTGGCCCCCGTAATGCCACTTAACTCCTTCCTTCCCAAGCCATGCTCCCCCACCAGACACTTTGGACACTGAACTTGGGTGGGGAGACTCAACTTTTAGATGTGGCAGGGACAGTCCTGGAACCAGAAACCTCCTGCTATGGTTTGAATGTGGTCTGTCCCCACCAAAACTTGTGCTGAGGCTTGGTCCCCAGTATAAGAGCACTGAGAGATGGGGGTCTTTAAGAGGTATTTTGGGTCATGAGGACTCTAGCTTCCAGAAGGGGTGAATGTAGTTCCCAAAAGAGTGGATCAGCAACCTTGAGATAGGGTTGTCATGACCATCCACCTGCTCCTTCATCCTCTCTCGTCTGTCACACGAGCCTACCTCCTATCAGGAGCTGATGCAGGACAAGGCCCTCACTAGAAGCTGAATGGGTGCTGGAACCTTGCTCTGGGACTTCCAGAGCTGTGAGCAAAAATACACTGCTTTTCTTTATAAGTCACTGAGTCTCAGTTTTGTTGTTGTTATTGTTCTGGTACCAGGGATGGAACTTGGTACCTTTCTCTTACAAGGCAGGAGGAGACATCACTGAGCTAAATCGTCGGCCCCTCTAGTATAGACCCACCCCCAAGAAAAAAGGGCACTACGAGGAGCAGCAGGCTGGGGACAAGACTAGGACATTAAAGCTGGGGCCATAACAGGCCAGGCCTTATCAGCTCCTAGTGGGAGGCACCTCCCCTGCAAGCTGCTTCTCCTCAAGTCTGACCCTGCAGCAAGCATGCGCAAGGCACCTGGCCATGAGGCTGGTGTGTCCACTTCTCACTTCTCTGGGCCTTGTGCCAGGTAGGGTCCTGGGGCTGACCTTGATGGGGAAAAAAAGTCCAGGGGAAACCACTGCAGAGGGAGCAGGAGGCTGATCAAGCCCATGTCCCATCTGTGACCCAGGGAACTGAAGCCCACTGCCCTGGCACTTTCTTCACTCTGACAACCAGAACAAGTCCAGTGAATGGGCTAGGGTACAGGCAGGGAACAGAGGGCCACAGGGACCCCAGAGGCTGGCTCCTCAATTTCCCCCAAGAGTGATGCTTGCTCCTAGGGGTGCCACAGCAAGGGAAGGGCTCTGGGAAGCCCACAGGGGAAGAGGGTCAGGTGGGAAAGATAGGATCTCTGCCTGCAAGGGGAGCAGGGGCCAGGACAGTGCTGAGCAGGCAAGGTGCCCTTTGAAATATCAGAGGCAGTGGAGGCAGAATCCACTGAGGAAAAAAGTCCAAGGAGAACAAAACCAGACAAAGTCAAAGAGAATCAAATCAGGTAGAAAACAAGGTCCGTTTTGGGACAGAGTCCAATTTTTCCTTTTTCTCACTGGAAGAACAGAAGTTGCAGGCGAGCACCCTTCAAAAAGACCATCTCTCCCAGCTTCCTCCTAAGACTAAACTCCAAACAAGTGAACAATCCTTCCCCCAACAGCCCCCCACCGTTTCCTTGCAAAAGCCCCAAGTCCTCAGCCCCACAGCCCCCTCCAGTCCTCAGCAGACATTGGAGACCCAGGGCTGGGAGGACACCCTGTGGCTTCCTTCAAAACCACCTGGTCCCCTCTTGTGGCTTGGAGACAGCAGAGTTTTCCTCATCTTTAAACAAACACATGTTTGTCGTCAAGGTCCAGGTTTATTTCCCTGTGGGAGTTGGAAGTTTCGACACTGTTCTGGGATGCCTGCATTTTAAAGGGGCTTCTGGGAATTTACTGTGGATCCCAGAGGGACCCTGAACATGGATGGATGCCCACAACCTGGCAACTTCCGACTGACACATTAAACAGGCCATTTGCCCGTGCTTCTTCCTGTGGGAGGCCAGGCAGGCTGTGAGGAGGGGTCCTGCCCTGGCTTCAGTATGGGGCTTGTGTGTACATGTGCACCCACAAACTCACACGCACACAGGCAGTGAAACAAGAAAGTTTTAGACGTTCTCAAAATTCCTTTGGGCCTCATTGCTCATTTCATTATGCTGAGAGGTCCTGACCACAGTCCATACTACAGGAAAAAACCTGTAAGTCTAGCTGAAGCAGCTGGCCCAGCTAGGATCCCCATGAGGCCCGGGTCCCATAGCAGGGCAGCAAGATCCCTGAGTCAGAGATGGGATAGAGCCGTTTACAGTGCAGTTCCTCCAGCCAGCTGCAGCCTAGAACATTTGAAACACACTAGGAGTTCCTATTCCCTTTCTGATGTCCAGAGGACACTGCTTTGAGCAACACAGACTCAAGGTGAGTGCCCACTATATTAATAACGATGCGGCAGGCCAGAGAGGGCAAGCAAGTAGTCTGTAGCCACACAGCAGAGTGAAGGCCAGAGCCCTGCCTGGGAATTGCAGCCTCAGGAATCCTCACTGGCCTGGATGCCCCTCTGGTAAGGTGAGGGGAGAACCCAGGCCCCTGTGGATCCTCCTGCAGTCTGTGCCTGAGGGCCAAGGTAAAAGATATGAGGAATTCCAGGAGGTGGATCCCACGACCAACATGCACCTCAGGCCAACTGCACCCCATCCCTCGCTGATCAGGGTCCCCACCCCACCCCCACGCGCCTTGTCCCAGAAAAGGGGGCTCTCTCACTCACCATAGTCCTTCTTGCAGTACTTTTTCATGTTAATCTTCAGCTTCCCTTTGGAGGCCTTGCAGTAGGAATCGCAGTCTGCAGGAGGGGGAGAACACAGACAAAAACTAATTAGGCTGGCCATGAATAGGCTGGCTGGCCGAGCGGGAGGCCGCCTCCCTAAATACCCAGAGGCCTGTGATACCCATGGGCCAGGCCAAGCGGGCGGCCATTCAGGGCAGGCCTGGCCTTCTAAAGAGGCCCCTGGGACAAAGGGCCCCTGCCCGACCCCCCTTTTCTGGCCTGACGAATCCTTTTGCTGCCTTGGCCTCCGTGAGAGACTCTGGGGGCTCCTGAATGGTGCCACCCAGGGTTTCTGAGCACCACATAAATTCCCCCAGTTCTTAAGACACAACTGGAGCCTGATTAAAGCCGATAGAGGCCTCATTGTCACCCTGCGCTCCGGGTCTGTGTCAGGCGCTGGCTTTCATGGCGCAGAGCCTCTGGCTGGGGTCAGGCCCCAACAAAAGAGGTCACAGAGGAAATTAGCAGTCCATGAAGCATTAGAAAGCCCCTTTGGTGTCCACTCCACTGGAGTGTGCAAATAAAATGCCCCACGAAGAAGAGTTCAGTTCTAATGGGCCCTACTGCTGGGAGGCAGAGCCACGGGCATGCATCCACGGGGTATCACTTCAGGGCTTCCGGACCCTGAGCAAGAGCTGGGCGAGATGGGCAGAGCACTGGGCCTGCCAGCTAGCAGACGGTGGCTCCTGGCAGCGGTCTCACCGGCATCCTACAGGCACAACCCATGACTGGACCCCACTCCAACCTTGCCCTCTTCCTGACAGGAATTCTGCCAGGATTTCAGCTCTTTGGTCAAGCAGATGCAATTCCTTTGCTAGACCCCTATGTGACATCATGACCCAGCCACTTACAAGTCCCAGTAAATCTGTCCCACCACTGGACAGGCCAGAAATCACTCATTTCCTAGAGCCATTCTTGGATGTATAAGAGTTCTTCCTATTCTGCAGACAAGAAAATCAGGCCTCAAAGGAAGCAAGCCACCTGGCAGGGTCGGGAAGCAGGAGGAGGAAAAGCCAGGGCCACAAGGTAGGCCTCTCCATGCCACCGGCCCCAGCCTGCAGTGAAAGTCGATGGGATATTCAGAAGTGAGCTCCCTGGAAGCAATGTCCATCCGCACGTGAGGTTGCTGCCTCCTTCAAGGGCCCAGGACACACTGACATGGGCCTTAATTTGTCAGCCTAGCTCCACTCCACTGTCTAAGAGCTGGGCCTGGTCGATGGGATATTCAGAAGTGAGCTCCCTGGAAGCAATGTCCATCCGCACGTGAGGTTGCTGCCTCCTTCAAGGGCCCAGGACACACTGACATGGGCCTTAATTTGTCAGCCTAGCTCCACTCCACTGTCTAAGAGCCCTGGGCCTGGCAACCCCAACTGCCCCCAGGCTAGCCCGCTGAGGCCCAAAGTTAGGAACCAGTCTCAGGAAATGGGAGAAAAACAGCCCCCCTTCTTATTCCCTTGCAGTCTGAGCCCTTGGAGCTCCCCCAGGATGTCCTGGTCCAGGGACACCACAGGCCATAACAGCAGTCTTTCTGCCAGATGGACAGTGGGTGGGTACTGGAGCAGGAAGCTCTCGAGGTGCAGAGACTGGGCTGTCTAAAGAGCATGGCCTTCACTCCACTGTGGCCAAACCCAGGACATCAGGACGGGAGAGGTGACAGCCTGAACACACGAGCATTACGACACCTGACACAGTTGTACTTGCTTGCTGGGAACAGCTGTGCTGAGCCATGTCTGTGGCAACTCAGGGACAGACAGATGATGCTCACAGCAAAGCCACTGTGCGGCTGAACCTGATGCTGCCAAGTGTCACCACTGTGGGGACAGCCTCAAATCTTCTGGATGCTTTTGTATTTTGGGGGGGCGTTTTGACCCAAGTCAGTACTTTCATTTCTAGTCAGGAACCACTGGGCACGCACTGCATGACCCCCGCACGTGGCACTCAATGACAGTGTAGGCCAGAGAGCGCCTCTGAGCTTGCCAGCTCTCCAGAGGCCATGGGGGATCTGCCGGAGGCGTGCAATGCTCGGCCTCCAGATGGGAAGCCAGCTCTCAGAAAGGTGCAGGGCAACCTGCTCGAGCAAAGCTGGGACCCACGGGCAGAAGGGAGGTAGACAAGTCTGAGCACGACCTATTCTAGCACCACTGGCCAGGCATAGGAATAGCTACAGCTCTTCTCTTTAGAGCCAAGGGTCCAGCTGGGACAGAAATCACCCAAGAAATGCACGGCATCCATCACTGCCTAATGAGATTACGCTCCCAGGCCCCACTTGCCAATTCAGTCATCACTGTGTATCTCCAAGTCTACACTCGCTGATGGCACGACACATGGTGGTGGTGAGGCCTTAGCACCACTCTGATGCTTCACCCCTTCCAGTTGGGAAGGATTTTCACGGATGAGAATTTTCAGCCCAGAGAAATTGGGGACCCACTCGCCCAGGGCTGTGTGTGTAATACAGCAGGCTGGCTGCAGAGCCCAAGATCCCAATCCAGTTCCCAATCCTGGCTCTGCACTCTGTCCCCAAGAGGTTCTGATTTCCTTGGTCTAGGAGTGGCCCGAGTTTGGATTTTTAACACTCCCTGGGTGATTCCAACATGCACCTAGGGTTAAAACCAGCAGAGGAAAAGGCAAAGAAAGGTGGTTGTTAATTCAGGGTCTGTCTCAGAGCACTGATAGTTGCATTTGCCTTTGTGTGTGTATGGGCTCAGGGGGGCCTATCTTTCCTTTCTGGCTGCTGGCAATGCTTACCAGGTCAATACACTTGTTGCAAAATGTCCCTTTCTACTATCAGAGTAACTGACTCTAATTTAGTCACAAAAGCTAGGAAAACAGATCACGCATGTTAAAACTGGGTAAAGTACAGGTAAACAGTCTGGGAAGGAGTGAAGTAAAGTTCTCCTGTGGGGAATGTGAATAACCTTTATAGCACAGAGACCGTGAAAGCTCTCTGGCTGCTTGTGGGCTCTTTGGGTTGTATTCCAGATAGCTGAGGTCACCAGACAAGTGCTCCCTGAATAAGAATGTCCCTGTATTGCTTCTTTTTCAAGTACGCACAAAGCTACAGAGACTGCTTCAAGATGGAGAAATCACAGCTTTAAAATGCAACTGTGATTCCTTCCGCAATATGGCATCTACTTGGCAGCCACTCGTGGGGCCTCTCCTTGTTTTGTTCCAAAATAGCTATAAAGACAATGAAAAATGAAAATTCACATGAATGCCAAGAATGAAACTGATAGATGACCCAGTACTGGAATCTGGGAGCAATCTCTATTAATTAAAGGCAGATGGTGGTAGAAGAGGCAAAACCTATCTGGATTTTACCTCAGGACACAGCTCTTTGTCTCATGAACAGAAAGATCCTGAAATAAAGGAGGAGGATAGAAAGACAGTGACCAGAAAACAAATGGGCAGGAAGTGGATGGGGACACTAGAAGTGACCCCTCTAACAGAGAGGGGAGGTTGAGGAAAGGTAGGGACCAGAAAGACAAAACTTGAATTGGCTATCTGAAGTTATAATGTTATATAAATTACTGGTACAGCATCAGAAAGTCGGGCGATGGAAATAAGAGAAGGGCAAAATAAGAGGCTATGACAATTGGGAATCGAGCTGTGCAAACTGCACCTTAGCCCTAAGATGGGAACCTAGTCCTCATTTAAGCACAGGCATCTGCAAAGCTTCCTTTGCAAAGGGCCAAACAGTAAATATTTATAACTCTGAGGGTCATACACTTTCTGTCACAACTATTCAATTCTGACACTGTAGGTCAAAAACAACCATCAACAATATGTAACCAAATGGGCAGAGTAGATTGAAAAACTAAAAAGACTCAGCCTCCATGAAATAGGAGAAGAGATGAAAATGAGCTGAAAAGGCCGTATGATATATAAGAAAAAAGATGAGGTGGAAAAATAAAAACTAAAGCAAATATCTGGATCCTAGTAGCATAATTTAAATTCACTTTGGAAGCAGCAAAGAAAAAATGACACCGTAAAAACTGATTCATCAAGAGTTCAATCCCTGGTACCAAAAAAAAAAAAAAAAA